CAATGCTGTGACGAAATCATGAAAATTGAAACTCCTGCTCCCCGGAAACCGCCCCAAGCCATGGCCAAGCAGGGCTCCTTGTACCATGAGATGGGTGAGTGAGAAAATACACTCAGGAAACTTGATGGAAAATGGGGTTCTGAGTTTCAAGGGAACCCAGATACTGGAAACAGAGAGAAAGCACACTTACTGCTAGGATAGATTTCTGGGGACTCAAGGCTCACCTGGGCTTTCTTTATGTCTTTCTCCTCTCCAATTCTTTTTAGAACTACTTCCACCAAAGTTCAAATCAAAACTTCAAAAAACAAGATTCATTTCATGGGTTTCTATCCTAATTTCTTCTTTTCTGTTTTCCTTTCTGCATGTGGATTCCCGTCTCTTCTTCTGACCCCCTACTTGCCTGGCACTGCTTTCATTTTCTTTTCTTGGTTTCTTCACTCACTTCTGGTGCCCTCTCCTTCCCCACCCATCCTGTATGGCACAGACCTATCAGAGCCCATGGCCCCAGGGGGGCCCAGTGAGGGGCTGCTCCTGCAGGATAATGCAATCTCGGCTGAGATCCGGGCTTTGCTTTCCTATTACAGTGACAGGTGACAGTCAGGGCTGCATAGGCTTGGGGCCTGAGCCCTGACCAGCCCCCTCCCCTCAACCCCTTCCTGGTGCCACAGCTATTGAGCCGCTAGATGACATCGCAGCTGTGACAGACATCCTGGCTCAGCGAGAGGGCACGAGGCTGGAGACATCCCCACCCTGGCTAGCAATGTTTACAGATCAGCCTGCCCTGCCTAGCTCCTGCTTGCCTGCCTCAGTAGCCCCAGCCCCTGCCTGGACCCACCCCCTGCCCTGGGGGCGACCCCGAACCTTTTCCCTGGATGCTGTTCCCCCAGACCACTCCCCTGGGGCTTCTTGCTCGGTTGCCCCCCTCCCCCCACAGCGATCCTCAAGTTCTAGAGGCCTCTGCAGCAAAGGTCCTCTCCGTACTTGGCTCCAATCACCAGTGTGAGGGACAAAGGCACTGGCAACAGGATGTGGCCAGAAAAGAAAATGATCCACGTGCAATCAGGCTCTGGATATGGCGCTATCTATAGCCAGTCGGCCAGCTTAGCCTCCTCTTCCTCTGCTGGACTGGGTAGGCTGGGGAAGGGGAACAGATGCCTCTCTTAAATTGTGGTTGCCATGGTACTGAGCAGTTTATTTCCAGAGCTACCTGGGACTCCCCAAACCCTTCCTGGGAGAAAACTGGAACAACCCTTCCCTACCTCCCTGCACTAACCAGCTTTGAAGATGGCACTGAAGAGCTCTGGGAGGGAGCACACCTCCCTTGTGACTCCTACATCAACCATTAAAGTTATTTAACAGCAACCTTCACACCTGGTTCCTTTTTTTTTTTTTTCCCCTTTCAGTACCGGGAGTTGGGCCCTGGGCCTCATATATGGTAGGCAAGTGCTCTACCTTGAGCTACATCCCAGACCTTTTAAAAGTTTGAGATGAGGTCTCACTGAATTACCCAGACTAGCTTCAAACTTGCAGTCATCCTGCCTCAGCTTTCTGGGTAGCTGGGATTGCAGATGTGAGCCACTGTGTCTGGCTATCTCCTGGTTGAGGAGGACAGGTTGCCTCTCTCTGTGTGGTCTGGACCTGCCCGCACCCTCTTCCCAGGAACTTTCTTTGCCACCTTTGTGAAGTATGACTATGATACTGAGTAATCAGACAAGGACTGGGTGGAGGAGATACTTTATAAATACCACAGGGAGGAGAACAGCCGCTCTTTGCTCACACACTGCCAAATCTCAGGATCTCAGTGAGGTCATAGCCCGTCACAGCAAAGGAGCTGCCTGAGGGATCACAGAACTGAGCGCCACACACCTGGGTGTCAGGTACACACTCACCATGACAGTGTTCCACCTGGGGGAGATGAGGGCTGGTCAGGGCCTGCTGCCCCATGCTTGGACCCCTGTTCGACCCCTCCCACAACTCGCACCTCAATGCAGCCACTCTCTGGGTTTCTGCTCAGCTTCCAGATGTGCACAAAGGTGTCCTCAGCTGCAGAGAGTAGCTATAAAAAACAAAAAACAAACAAAAAAAAAAAAAAAACAAAGAACAAAAGCAAAAACAAAAATCTAAGAGTGTGTCAGAATACCCTGATGGGACAGGTGTGGGCTGGAGTGCCCAGTCCTGATGCCCCAGGGAGGAGGCTACACCAAGTAATTTGTGGTATTTCTCTCAACATCCCAACACTAGGAAACAGGGCAAGCAGGGATGTAGGAGACTGACCTTGCCCACCTCAGGAGCTAGGTCCAATGCACAGATGGCCCGGGCATGGGCATTGATCTGGATGTTCAGAGTTCCTGTAGTGGCCTCATATAGATGCACCTGTCCATTCCCATAGCCTGCTGCTATAATCCCCTGCCAAAGCTGCACAGAGGAGCATGGGACCCTGCAAAGGTGACATTCAGCTTTGAGTTTTCTAGACCCAAGTCTATATTCTACCTTGAAGCTACCTCAGGAAGGCCGCAGCCTCCTTTGGCCTCACCTACCCAAATCCTGGAATACGGGTCAGTAATGTGAATTCAGGTCCTGATCTCCAGACACACAGTGAGCCAGAATCATCTGCTGTCACCATGTCAGCCATACCATCCTGAGGGAAAAGATGGGATCAGTTCTTCCCTTTCTCTCCTGCTGTGATCCTAAGCACAGGGTAGGAGATAAAGGGAGGTCATATTTGAATCTTTGCCTCTCTGGAGTAAGGGCAAGATGTGGGCCCCTCACTGGCCAGATCCACCAGTAACCCTCCCCAAGGTTCCCTCAAGAAGCATGGACTGCTTTCCTTGCACTTCCTTATAGAGTCTGACAATCAACCATGCTCTCCTCTCCCATCCTGTATTAAAAAGGGTGTATAATGTCCTTACTGGATGGATGAAACTGCGACCACAGTGCCAGAACTTTTTGGAGGTCTTGCAGTGACCTATTTACAATTAATACTGGACTCTGGGCCTCCTGACTTGCAACATCAGGCAGCCAAAGTAGCCCATGGATCCTTCCCTGTGCTAGGGTAAGGGAAGTCCACTTACCTGTCCTTGGACAGGCTCAGCAGCAATATCTGTGACCGGTGTCTGGTGTCCCGCCAGCTCCTCGCTCAGCATAATGTTGGGACCCTTGGCTGGGATGTCAAACACCAGCACTCGGCCTGACCAGGTTCCTAAAGCCAGAACCAGTGCCCCACTGGTGGCTTCCTGACCTTCTGAGTCTCCAGCCACCAACCTCAGCACTCCCTCATCCCAGAAACTTTAATAACAAACCCATGCCCCAACCCTCATTCACTACCTTCATCCTATCCCACCCTGCCTCTCTGACCCTTCTGTATCTTTTTGGAGTCTAAGATATCACGTTGCTCCCACTCTTTCCTCAAACCCTGCACAATTTCCTCAGGTCCTCAGTATCCTCCTGGTGAAGCCCACACCCCCACACCCCATACCCTTTAATGCCCTGTCCTTGGCCCCCTCACCTACACAGATGAAGTGACCACTGGCAGCAATTCCTTGGGCAAACACAGCCTGTACTGAGTATGAAAAGGGAAAACTATCAGATATAGCACTTCTCCAAACCCTAGGAAACACTCCCTACCTTTAGGCCCATTTGGTTGTATAGGTACCTGAAGAGGCATCTCCAGAGTTCAGTGCATGCCAATAGACCATGATGGAGCCATCAGACTCATACATCTGGAAGACAGAGCAAGGATGGGGCATGATCCAGCTGACCTTTGTTGAACTCTGTGCTGAGTACTTTACATCTCCATGTTAGCCAGAACCCATTCAATCCTCAAAACCACACTTAAAGGTAGGCACTATATCCCCCTGCCCAAGTACTGGGGATTGAACCCAGAGCTTTGTGTATGCTAGGCAAATGCTCTACTACTAAGCTACTTCTGCAGTCCTTTTTATTTTGAGACAAGGTCTTGGTAAGTTGCCTAGGCTGACTTGGAATTGCTTCAGCCTCCCAAGAAATTGGGATTCCAGATGAAGGCCACCATGCCCAACGATAGGCACTGTTTTTACTCTATTTTTCAGGGTCTTCTTACCTGTATCCCTCGATGCGAAGTGAGTACCAGCAGTACTCGGAAGGGGAGGACGCACCAGTGGACCTGAAATTAGGTGGATCACAGGAGGGAGGAAAATTAGAGTAAAGCTATGAGGCATCAGAAGAGTGGAAATTCTGAGGGTAGAGGACAGCCTATTCCTCGACATTTGAAAGGGCAGGGGGATGGCTGAGTACAGCAACACTGCTCCCAACACTATGCCTCACCTGAGTGATATGTGGGGGGCTCACTCCGGCGCCCTCTTTAACGTGGAGTTGGCGTTGGGCCAAGGGCACACCGTCAGGGGCAGCACTGAGAACCTGGGCACTTGGTCCATGAACTACCCCAAAAAGCGTGAGGTTGCGGGCAGGCAGCTGCAGCACACTGAGATTGTTGCACAGAGCGGCGGCAGAGCTTTGAAGGGGGATGGAGCGCTCCCGGCGGAACATCCTGTGGGAGGGACACCTGAATCACAGCGCGGGAAAAAGATCACAGTGGAGACTGGGGAGGGAGGACAATTATGAGGCAGTGAAGGAGACCTCTGAGACTAGGTAAGAGATGAGGTGTCCCGAAAATAGTGACAAGGGAGGGTCGTCGGGTAGAAGAAGGGTCTCCTGGAGCATAGGAGGGGAGTCCCCGGGCTGAGTCACACTGGGCGATGGGGAAATCCCAGAGGAGGAATGGTGATGGCACAGGACCTGGTGGCTCCAAGTGCTCGAGCCCAAAAGGCAGGATGAAGCTCCCAGGCACTTCCCCCTTCAGCTCGGCTCCCTGAAGCACTGTGCCTGGGTCTAAGTTCACACCCTCTGCCCCAGATCCCCTTGCCTTATTCCAGGATCCTTCGGTCCCTCCGAATCCGCCGCCACCATAGAGACGACGCACACACGCACGCCGCTGGGCGGAGCGAGCGGCCGGAGTTTACGGCGCGCGGCAAGGTTGCCGGGGTAACTGAAGGGGCCCGGTTGCTGAGGCGACCGTTAGGCAGCCGCAGGCAGCTACCTCTGCTGGGGGTTTGAGCCCAGGAGACAGCTGAGACACTCGCGTCGGAGCTACAGCGGCTGCAATGGCGCAGGAAAGCTCGGTGAGCTTGAGCTCAAGTAGGGGTGCGCCTGACCTGGGGTTCGGCCTGTAGGGTCGGTGTCGCTTATAGTGGGCCAGTTCTACGGCGCCCAGGAGCTCAGGATGACTCAAGAAGCCAAGTCGGGGTTTGGGCCGGAAGCCTACATCTGCACCGTGCCCACTCACACGCTTTGTAGCGCTCGGACCCTGAGGGAAAGTTAAGGATGTAGAGCCCGAGGACAAGAAGTGAATTTCGAAACAACCAATACATGCGATAAATCTCTTATAAGTAGTTACCTATTTCAGCGGATAAACCAGAATTTGTCGAGTATTTAGGGAGAGGTGTTAATCCATATATCATCTTTTTGCAGAATTTTTCTGGAGGAAAAAACATGGATTAAATAACAGTGCCGACGCTACACCTGAAAGTCCAATTGTTTAAAAGCCAAGATAGTTTAAAATAAAGGAAACAGGCAGGGCGTGGTGGCGCATGCGTGTGATCCCAGCACTCGGGAGGCAGAGGCAGGAGGATCACTGTGAGTTCCAACCCAGCCTGGGGTACATAGTGAGACCCTGTCTTCAAAAAACAAAACAAAACAAAACAACAGATTTGAAGGGTCTTTGTGCAAAAAGATTATCTATCCCCTTTTGTCAGGCCACTTCTAGGCACTGTCACCATCGAGTGTGTCAGATGAGAGCCTGGGAGGAGTCTATCCCCACCTTGTCCGCTCTGCTCCAGCCAACCTAGGCCAGAGCTGTGGGTCCCACCCTGGGCTTACCACAGGGCTGAGTGTTCTTGCTAGTGGAAAAGGGGAAATAAGGCATAAGGAGTTTTGAGTTCAGTATAAGGGTTAGAAAACACCAGATTTGAGGAGAGAATGAATTTTAGGAAATGTTACATATCAAGCAATAAGACTGGTAAGCAGTAGGTAAAGATTTGGTAATATCACCCTTGGAGGTAAATTTTGGAAGGAACCAGGTTCAGGGAAACTTGTGGGGAGGTAAACTTCCAACTAACTTAATAAATTACCATGTCCCTAAAGTAAGTTTTGGGGCTAGACTTTTTCTTTTTATGTGGATTTTTCTTTATTATTATTATTGTTGTTATTATTTTGGTTTTGTCAAGACAGGGCCTCATTATGTACGTAGTTCAGGCTGACCTTGAACTCACTATGTAATATAAGCTGGCCTGGAACTTGCAGCAGTCCTCCTGCCTCAGCTTCCCAGTGCTGGGATTAAAGGCTTTTGCCACCACACCAGTTTTTCTTGATTTTTAAAAGGATACAAATTCATTGTTGTGAACTTATAAAATAGAGAAGAGAATAGGAAAGAAATATACCTTCTGTAATCATTTTGATGTTTTCTAATATATATTGGTCTATATAATTCACATTATAATTAATGTGCAATTTTGTATCTTGTTTCTTTCACTTAACATTCAGTCATGAGCGTTTACATATGCTATTGCAAATTCTTCCTAAAGGTTACTTTAATTCATTATGCAGATACAGCATAATTAACCATCTACTCTTTCTTTCTTAGACAAGTGTTCAGTATTCTGCTATTATAAATAATACCACAGCTAATATATTGAAATATATCTTTTTCAGTTTTTATATTTTATTAGTAGTACATGTTTGCAGTACATCATGATTACATTCATGATGGGGAATTGGTATATATACATAACACATTTTAATTCTTTTGGGGGGTGTACTGGGGATTGAACTTGGCCCCTTGCGCTTGCAAGGCAGGCACTGGAACCACTGAGCTAAATCCCTGGCCCCAACACATCTTAATTCTTTTCTATCCATTTCCTCACCCCTCCCTTCACACTCCCTCCATCTCTTGGTCCCCTTCCCACTTGCAAAAGATCTATCTCCCTATTTCTTACTGTCTTTTATTTTGTTCTTTATTTATATTTTGACTTCCATATGTGAGGAACCATGTGATACTTAAGCTTCTGTGTCTGATTTATTTCACTTAGCATTATGGTCTAGGTGTGTACATTTTCCTACAAATGACTCAAGTTTATGGCAGAGTAGCATTCCATTACATACAAATGCCATATTTTCTTTGTCCATTTATTGGTGGACATATAGGCTACTTCCAAGATTTATCTATTATGAATGGTGCTGTTACAAATATAGGTATGCATGTATCTCTGTAATATGACATCTTAACTCTTTTGGTTAAGAATGTCTTCTAGATACCTACAAGGGAAATAGCTGGGTCAAATGAAATTTCTATTTTTAGCATTTTGAGGAGTCTCAATATTGGAATATTGGTTGTGTACCTTACCAAAACATTGACTATTCTAATTTTGAAAATAATTTCTACTTTGATGACCTAAAAATCAGAATCTAAATTAAGTTCATATATTTTGATATTTTTAAAAGGTTGGACATCTTTTCAAATATTTATTAGTCTACATTTTTCCTTTTGTGAAATACTACAGTTTTTGCTTATTCTTGGGGTCTTACATTATTTTATTTTATTTGGTTTATTGTAGTTTTTACTACTTTGAGATAAGGTCTCACTGTATAGACCAGGTTCACCTTGAACTCACTGTGTAGCTCAGACTGGGCCTCTCTCAACTGATCCTCCTGTCAACTGAGCCTCCTAGTGGATTATAGGTGTGCGCCACCATGCCCAGCTCTTTTGAACTTTTAATATGTTTGAGGATATTTATCCTTTTTATGCTGTTGAAAATGTTTTTGTTTGGCAGGCAGGATAAATTCAGACTACAGACTTAGGCACACTTGTATACGAATTCAGATTATACTACTTTCTAATTGTGTGATCCTGGGCAAATTAAATAAAATGGGGATTAAAAATACATAGGTAAAAATGTGAAAGAGATGAAATAGCACCAGTGCTTCCAGTGTGCTTATTGATTCTTTATTCTCAAGTTCATTGAACTCAAGAACTTTGGAGATTTTGCACTGCTGTAAATAGCAAGGGGCCATGGAGTTAGGGATTCATACCCTGGGTTTACTGTATTCTTTCAAACAAGTGATAGCTAAGTTCTATCAAGCTTCAGTTTCTTTACTGAGTGGACTCAGAGGGCTGTTAGGAAAATTGAAATACTTACATCAAATACTTAAAAATCATCAGTCACAATACACCAAAAGCATCAGTCACGTTATAGCCTCTTAGTAAATGTGTCCCTTGCCCATTTTTCTTCCCATTAAACAACTTGAGAAAGCTTCCTTCTAGCTTCTAGCTGCTCTTCGGGTCTGCTCCTCCATTTCCTGTCCTGAGAGCCCCGTTTCATTTCCACAGAGGCAGGAGAGACAGGTGCGAGACCGTGGCGCGACCAGATCCAAGGTGGAAAAGGTGCGGCCACCCACCGTGCCAGTGCCGCAGGTGGATATAGTTCCCGGGCGGCTCAGTGAGGCGGAGTGGATCGCGCTCCTGGCGCTGGAGGAGGGCGAGGACGTGGTGGGAGACATCTTGGCCGACCTGTTAGCTCGAGTCATGGACTCTGCCTTCCAAGTCTACCTGAACCAGCAGGTGGGCCTGGATCTAGGTTTTCCAGGCCCTTGTGCTCCCTCTCTCGCTGCTCCTCTCCAGGCTGAGACCTTTCCTCACTTCCGCAGTGCATTCCATTCACTGTCAGCCAGTCCAAGGAAGCCATGCTACAGATAGTTGAGTGGCGTTTCTTGGCCCGGGACGAGGGAGACGCTGCAGTGGCCGAGGATCCCTCGTGGGGTGAGGACGAGGAGCCGCTGGCATGCGTGACAGACACCTGGGCTCAGGGCTCGGTGCCCGTGGTGCATGCGCCAGCCTACGAGAGTCTGGAAGACTTTGAAGAGGAAGATGAAGAAGAAGAAGAAGAAGAAGAAGAAGAAGAAGACGAAGAAGACAAAGACGAAGTAAGCCCAGCCTTCAGCCTACTTCTGACCGGAGCCGCGCTCTGTCTTCGACTGAGCTTTTGGGGCTCCTCCACCTGACGTCTCTCCCTTTTCTATCTCTCATTCCCCTATGCGTTTCCCCCAGAATCCTGGGAGCCCAGGCCGGATCCTTTTAGGAAGATCCTTGTTGGCTAGAGGCTCCCAGGAGCGTTCTCCGGAGCTGAGAGGCACCCCGGGCTCTCAGGCTACACCTAAGCTGTTTCAGAAGGCAGGAGCTGGAGGAATTTTGCAGGAACCTGACAGCCAGGCAAGAAGCCACCTCTTCTTGGCCAGGTCTTCGAACGAAAGTTTACGACAGTCGGGGGAGGCGGTGTGTGTTCAGAGTCCCCTCCCTTCCCTGGAGCTGTCCCAGGTAGCCAGCCCTTTGGCTTCTGCCGAGAGGGGACAACCCCTGGGCTCCTACTTGTTGCCCGAGGACCTCTACCCCCAGCCAGATGCAACTGGGGACCGGCTGCTAAACCTGACGGAGAGGATGTCTCTCATGGCCTCGGGCGTGTCCTGCCCCTCTGGGGGCAACCCCGCCATGCTCAGCCCCTCTGTGTCTGTGCAGTTGCACCAGCCGGGACGCTTGGGTGTGCCTCACTACCTGGCAGGCTGCAAGGCTACAACAGCGCGCCTGGACCCCAAGCAGCTTCCCAGACACTGGGTGCGCCCCCAGGCTGAGGTCGTGATACCAGACTCTGAGTCTCATCCCTTGGAAACCTACCGCAGGCTCAAGAGGCGCTGCAAGATGGAGTCCAGAGCCGGACCACAAGGCCCTGTGCCTGGCGACCGTGTCTCCCCAGCAGCTTTCTTCCCTTTCCAGCCTAATGTTCTTGGTGCTTCGGGCCTAGACCCCGCTTTAAATTTAGGCCCACTGTTGCCATCCTCCAGGGCAAAGGTGCCATTCCCCAGCTGTGGGGCCCACTTCTTCCCCAAGCACTCTGTGCATGCTGAAGTTTCTCAAAGCTCTAGTTCTAAACAGTGGCCCAGTGCCAAGTGGCCCCATGGCTGGGAGGTGGGGGCTGAGATGCTGGGTAAGGTGTGGGCTGGCCGGACCCGGGTACCTCCACAGGGCTTGGAGCCTGCTGACAAGGAAGACCAGGATTTTGGGTGGCCCCAAATAGCACCCCGGATCCTCGAGGCCTCATCCCAGGTGCTGTGGAAGCCGGTGGTGCAGCCAGAAACCATGAGGTTAGCTCCTGGTGTGAGCATGAGGAACAGGAGCACCCAAGTACTTCTCAGCTCTGCTGTGCCCCAGGAGGCCAAAGAACAAGGTACTTCTTCACTTGACCAACATGTCATCCAGACAGGTATGCCCAAGCCCGAGGTGACTGGGCCAGAGCTAGTAAAGGTTACCCCTCAAGTATGGCTGCTCCCCTCCAAGCCCATGCCCCATTCTGATTCCTGATCTTCAGAACCCTGGAGGTGGGAACTGAATCTTCCCCCACCTATGGAAAATAAATACTGAGTTCCCTTAGGAATTGGAGTGAAGTTTCTTGTCAGTTTTTTCCAAGGGTGTCTATTCTCTCTCCAAACCCCAGGGGAAGCAGTTGTCCAGGCCTGCAAAAAAGTAGATTAATGGCTGCAGTAGATATTCCCATGGCTATATTAGGGGACCTTGTTTTAGGGCCAAAGCTATTCCCCCCCGGGGGCATTATAGATGCTCCCAACCCTGAAAAGGAGCAGAAAGAGGGCTGCCATGAGCTCTGGCTCAGGAGGGAGAGCTTTTTCTCTTCAGATAGAAGAGGGAGGGGATGCATCTTTTTTTTTTTTTTTTTTTTTTTTTTTTTTTGTACTGGGGATTGAACTCAGGACCTTCCCTGGTTCCTGGAGTTTAAATCAGTTCACATTATCTAGGTTTACTTTTGGAAACAAGTTTAGTCTACACAGGGCTCAAGAAAGCTCTGACTTTCTTGATCACTGGCTTTGGTGGCAAGAACTAGGGTAAGGCAATCATATGCCCAGGGTACAAAATTTAGAGAATCCACTCTCAGGTTCAAACTGTGGGCTTAAACAAATGAAAGAGTGAATGCCTTCTTAAAGTTTGTCTTAGACTCCACACCTGCTTCATTGGTGGTCTCCAGTCTGCCTTAACTTGGCCTTCCTTTCACCCACTCGAACATCCCAGTGGCAGGCTGGCAGTCTCTGCTCTATTGTGGGCTCCATTCAGCAACCTGGTCTGTGGTCCTGGCTCTTTCCTCCTTACTCTGGTTAACCTGATTGGACAACATGAGCAGCTCTGGTGGAATCTCATCCCTGAGATCTCCATAGCAGCTACAGATGTGACGTGTGAAGACAGGATTGGCGTTGGGCCCAATAGTGTTCTTCCCACCTGTTCCTGCTAGGAGCCTCTTCCCCTAACAGAGAGGGGAGACAGGAGGTCAGCATCTACTGTCAGCACCTTTGTCCTTCCTGTTCTGCTGTGCTCTAGTCACCACCCAGATCAGCCTACTCTGAAGCTGCTCTCCCTCAGATATTGGGGAGATTGTGGGAGCTGGCCTATCATGAGACCCATGCTCTTCTCACCTCCAAGAACTGGCAGCATGAATATGAACTGTCCTAGATTGAAGCAACCTTAAGCAGTGACTGCCTGCTGCTTGGTGAGTTGGACCTCAGCTCTGTGGCCTCCCTTTACATCTTTCCTCAGCAGCATCTGTAAGAAGGTCCTGAGATGTATCTGCTAGTAAGGAACACTGGAGTCATGCATGTTATATGCTTGGATTTGCTTCCCCACACACTTTAGGCATCTCCTTTCTAGTGCAAAGACCCCAAAATAGGTATTGTCAAAGCTTAACCTGGCTGAGACACTCTAATCCATACGCTCCTCTAAAATTGCTTGAGGTATAACCTCAAACCTCATTGTCCCATCTTTACATATATATGCTCCTGTGGTATTTCTTAGAACCCCAACATCTCCAGATCTTGTTTCCCTTAGAATAGCCCCTCTGTTACCCATCATTTATGTTCTCATTTCCTCTCAGGATACCCTAAAACACTTATCCCAGAGGGCCTTGCTCTCAACTTTGCCACTATATTAAGCCTTTTCTGCTTTCAGTTCTCCTCTAAGGTGAGGAAGGGTGGATGCTCACCTTCTAAGCTGCCTCCTTTTCCCTGTACACTGGTCATTTACTGATTCCCATGGCCACCTCCAGCCTCTGCACCCAGATGCTTACCAAGGGCTGACCAGATATACTTCTTTTCCTTCCTTTTCCTCCTCCTCTTATTCCTCCTCCTCCTCCTCCTCCTCCTCTTCTTCCTCTTTTTCTCCTTCTCCTTTTCCTCCTTTTTCTTTTTTTGTGAACCCAGGACCTTCACAACCGAGCTATATCCCTAGCCCTTTTAACTTTTTTAAATTTTGAGACAACTTGCTAAATTGCCCAGGCTGGGCTTAAACTTGTGATCCTCAGCTTCAAAAGTACTGGCATTAAAGCAGAGTGTCATCATGCCCCCAACACTCTTGGTGTCTCATAGCAGGGCAACCCAGCTAGTACAAGGCAGGATTAGGAAGCTGAACAGAATTACTACTTTGCCCTAAATATTACTGGCAAGGGGACATGAGATCCCATCTTTTCTCCATACATTTGTTAGTTCTGGCCAGACCAATAGACAGTCATTGCTGCAAAATCTTAAGGGGGTCTTTAGGTACAAGAAACAGTTGCTGGGGCCAGGGATTTAACTCAGTGGCATTGCGCCTGCCTCACAAGGTCCTGAGTTCAATCCTGGTACCTAAAAAAAAAAAAAGAAAAAGAAACAGTTGCTGGGAGTAGTGGTGCATGCCTGTAGTCTCAGCACTTAGGAAGCTGAGGCAGGAGGATCATCACAAGTTTGAGGCCAGTCTGGGCTACATAGTGAGTTCAAGGCTAGCCTGAAGTACATAGCAAGACCCTGTCTCAAAATAAAACAAAACAAGAACAACAACAAAAGAAACAGAGGAAAGAAGACTTATTGTCTGCTCTCAAAGACCCCAGAGCCTTAAAAGTTGGCTAGCCCAGACTTGTGCACAACCTGATGTAACTTTTAGTTCACATAATTTAGCAGCTAGGAATCCTTGTTAATCTCTAAGGGCTGCAGCTTTAGTGTGGAAACTGACAAGAAACCTGAGTGGGCTAGGAATCTGTAGGGAAAAGAACCAGAAACACACATGGCTGAAATAAGTGGATGAGCCCTTGAAGAAATCTCTGGCCTTGCTGATTTTGACAGCTAGCAAAGCACCATGAGCAATCTGTATTTAGAACTGGGCTGCCCAGAAATTCAGACTTTCCTTTCTCTTGATGAGTTAGAGGAAATGCCTATAAGGGAAGATGGGAAGAAGCTGGAAAAGGCTGGAAGACGAGGGTACAAGTCTGAGTGAAGGAGGGAAGAAAGATTGGGAGCATCTTACAGTGGGGCTGTTTTCCCATTTTAAAACCCTCTCTTATTTTGTAAGTATACATTCTGTTTTTGTTCTTTTATGGTTACTCTAAATTTTTGAGTAGTATTTTTAACTTTGCATATTTAATATCTTAATATCTTTAAATTTCTTTCAAATTATGCATAAATCTTAGAGTTCTTTGACCTCTTTTGATCTTTAGAGTTCTTTGAAGCAATCCTCCTGCCTCAGCCTCCTGAGTATGACAATCATACTCTGAATTTACTTATTTTTGTAAACCAATAATTTATCATTATTTTGTTACTCTTACCTATCAGATATATTATTAAGAAGTCAATAATTGAGATTTATTCCTATGATTAATATTAATATTTAATATTTCTTACTCTTCTGTGTCTCATCTTGAGCTATTTTTCTTTCAATGAAGTACACCTTTTAGGAGTTCCTTTAGTGAAGAGTTGTAGTAGACAGAATTCTAAAAGACCCCAGGATTGTATCTCTTCTGTATACATTCTGTAAAATCCCTTAAGTGTGAGCAGAATTTACAAATACATGGGATTTCACTCCCACGATTATATTAGGTAACTAACAAAGGGATTTTACTGATGTAAATTAGGTCTCAAATTGGTTGATTTTTGAGTTTATCAAAGGGGAGGTTATTTGAGTGAGCCTAAACTAATGAGGAGAGTTCTTTACAAGGATTCAGCCTTTCCAGAAGTTAGAGATCCTCTTGTTTACTATGAAAAAGCAAACTGCCACGTCATGGAGAAAGCCATGTAGCAGGAAGGAAACATAGCATCTAGTTCCTGAGGCCTCAGTTCCACATTCACATAGGACTGGATTCTGCCAGTAACCAGTGAATAAGGAAGAGGACCTCAAGCCTCAGGTGAGCCTGTGGTCCTGGAAGCCATCATTTTTTTTTCTTTTTTTCAAATTGATGAATGAAAACTTTGTTTTTTTACACGTAAAGGTTGATGAAAACCCATTAGTTTCCTATTAAAGAAAACCCACTATTTAAATTAACAAGAGTAGTGTCTGAATTTACTCACTGAACACTATGTTTTCTAAAATACAACTGGAAAACATCCAGCATGCTTAATCTCAGTACAAAGGATTCAAGACCAAGTATACACATTACATGCATCAAGGCAGATTACAAATTGTCATACTCATCACCATCATTGTCTGTTTGTTTTGTTTTGTTTTTTGAGACAGAGTCTCACTATGTAGTTGAGACTGACCTGGAACTCACTATGTACCGCAGGGTGGTCTCAAGCTCACAGCAGTCCTCCTGCCTCAGCCTCCTGAGTGCTGTTAATACAGGCATGCACCAACACACCTGGTTTATTTTTTGTTTGTTTGTTTTGTTTTGCTTTTTGGCCGTCATTGCCATTATCAGCATCCTTACATTTTCTTTTGATGACTCACTGGCAATATTTTTTATTTTATTTTATTTTTATTTTTTGGTACTGGAGATTGAACTCGGGTCCTTGTACTTGTGAGGCAGGCGCTGGAACCACTGAGCCAAATCCCCAGCCCTCACTGGCAATATTTTGTGATGATACCATATTCATGGTAAAAATAATGTTTTTGGGACCCCAATTAAGGATGAATTAATCAGAATATTCCGAACTGCTGAAGATTCCAGAATGGAGGCTTTTACAGCAGGGGCCTGGGAGGCATCTGCACTGTAAACCTCTGCCCAGTGAGGGTCACCAGAGCCCCAACTTTGGCTGAAACAGACATGGCCTGTGGAGTTGATGTGCCTAGCAGTTTCTCCTCTTTCCTCTCTTTGTTTTTCTACCTTTCTTCTTTCTTTTGAATTTGGATAATTACTTGTCCCAGCACCATTTGTTGAAGTTATATTTCCCCAATGACCAACAATGTAAAATTTATCATATACCAAATTTTCATAAATTTGCTTGTTTTAGGTCTAGACTCTTTTGCTGGGCATTTTAAAAAATGTCACATCAATATCATATTGCCTTAATTACTATGACTTTAAAATAGGCAGTTTTCCACTCCCATCAGCTTTTTTTATTTTTTTCAGGAGTTTCTTGGCTATTTTTGCTCTTCTCTAAAAGTTTATTATCAAGTTCTAAATGTGCTTTTTTTTTTTTTTTTTTTTTGGGTACCAGGGATGGAACTTTAGTCCTTGTGCTTGCAAGGCAGGCAGTGGAAACATTGAGCTAAATCCCTGACCCCTAAATGTGCATTTTTAAAGCTACCTTATACCTTCAAATGTGATTTTATAATTTTGTGTTATGCACATCTTTTATTATTAATAAGAATGTCAGTTTGAAGCCGGGAGTGGTAATGCACACCTATAATCACCGCTTTCAGGAGGTTGAAGTAGGAGGATCGCTTCTAGTTCAAGGCCAGTTTAAGATAAAAAAGCCAAAAAAGAAAAAAAAATGTCAGTTTGATTTCAAAATTACATAATTTTCATTTTTGATTATAGAAATACAATTGATGTTTGCATATTGATTTTTATACAACTACCTCCATAAATATTTTTATCAATTCTAATAATTTTCATATTATTTTGGCATTTCTTTGCCTGTCATATCATCAGTGAAAAAAAGTTTAATTTCTTAGGTTGTAATGTTAACATTTTTTGCTTTCTGTTCTGTTTATATCCTTATATGCTTTTCTTGCTTCGTGGACAGTGTTGGTATACAGCTAGTGCAGGTACTTCTCTCCCCTCTGTCTGTCCTTCTCCACATTTGGCTTTGTCATCTTTGATTTGCCATTTGCCTTTATCTCTGCTCTGAGGTTTTTAGCCTGAAAACCCACACCCTTCTGGAAAATGGCATTCTTTCCTTAGGGAAGTTCTCTTACCCTTGA